AAATATACCCCATTCCCTCTCTTTTTCTCGCCGAGGTATTCGAATTTAAGGTAAATGCTCGCAAAATGTTCGCCCCTTTACTGCAGAGCATTCTATAGTCAAGTGCATCAATCCGCCCGGTGCGGATGCACTCTGCTGCCGCGCTGCTTATTCGAGTCGCGTTCATTCAGTGCATCCGCAGCGGGCAAGTTACCGCAATCGATACAAGAGCTCTCCGAATGAGGTCCACAGTCGCTGAAAAATATTGCGTGTCAATAATTCGATCGGATCATTGCAATCCCGACATATATATGTCTGATTTACGTAAACATATATTTTCCCTTTAATAATACTGCGTTACATATGCATTTATTGCTTCGCATAATACTTTTAAATTTAATCGAATATATATTCTGCGAATGTGGAATAGCTTGGATATTTTTGTAGTTTGAAAATACAATTTACAAATATTTTCTTATATATATATATATATATATAGCGAAAATTTTCACCTGCCGCATTCTCTGCGGTAGAGTAATAATAATATTTATTGAACAATCTTTGAAAATCAAGATTGATATTACGTAAATGGGGGAAGGCGAAGTCGATTGATTTGCTGATAACTGACGCCTGCGACGAACCGTGTCTCATTTCCGCGTGCACGTCGAGATTGATATGGATCGCGCATCGTTTTGCACGAGCGACGTCGCGCGGATATGTATGCACCGTGGCTATTTATTGATCCGCAATCCAAATGGTCGAACCCGACGACGCACGGAAAAGTGCAAGCCTCGGCATAGTGCACTCGGTTCGGCTTCCGTACGGCATTAATTCATTTGCGATCGTTAATCGAGTAAGCCGGCGTAAATCCTCAGCTGCCGAACTGCATCTCTCGATATATTGGGATTGTATCGTAATTTGCGCGAGTGAATTCTCCATTATTTTGCATAATCTCGGACTTGCGAGAAATATAAATATTATAGAAAAATAAAATATTATACGGCAGACACATATCCCTAATTAGCATGAAAATGTTATTCTCTCGCTTTATGTCTTTTGATATCCTTTATCTTTTATTAATATTCTACATCTCCTCTCTGGTTTTATATTTTATATTCTGTTAGCTTTGGCATTTATATATCATTTACATTTTCTATGTTCTTTAACTTTTTATTCTCTTCCTTTTTTCTTTATGTCTTTATATATTTATTTCAAAAACGCAATACTAATCATATTTAACAGCTTTCCAATTCTCTTATTACGCGTATGCACATTTCTTACTTTATTCGAATAAAAAATGAAAAGGAAGTAAAAAAAGCGTTATCTCGAATAAATCCAAAGCTTATAAATATAAAACGAAACGGAGAATGCATTTACATTCCGGTTAGCAAATACTGATGGTTGGAGAGAAATATAAGAGAAAAAGAGAGAGAGAGATAAACACACACAGGATCGGAAAAGAGTAATTTCTTTCAGAAAAATTACTCGTTAAACCCTGTGTAGCCAGTCGTTTCCGTTACCGCATATAATTTCTCGATGAAGGCCGATTTGTCGCAGATATAGTTGACCTCGTTTCTTCTTGCTTCGCACGCTGGCAGAGTGCCGCTTTTTATTGCAATTCTATATCCGTGAAATACAACCCACGATCAGGCGCGCATTCAATACGTAATAGGAGAAATCGGCTAATTATTTCGCGGTTTCTGTATAACTCTTCTCTTAATGATTAATTACAGGGCTTCTCTACGGCGTTATCTCGCAACCCGCGCACATGTGACCGAAAGGCCATAAGTCAAGTCGATTCGAAAAAAATAATTACTTTAACGATCTCCTCTCGAACAAATGGATACGCGCTTTTCGGTATAAAATCACATCAAATTTTGATGCAAACGGAGATGTACAGTGGAATATATATATAGGTATATATCTCTCTCTTTTTTTTTTTTTTTTTATACAATATTATTTATTTGTAGATTTTAATTATACAATTGAAAAAAAGAACAGAAGAGAGTGAAAATAATTAATTATCTTTAGCTAGAGAACAATTTAGAAAGTTCGATTATAATTTCTTGTCTTTTAAAATATTTCATAATTTTTCATAATTCGATCTGTTATTATTATGTTCTCTTGAAGAATTAAAAAATTATTTGAGCAAGCAAAATCACATGCATATATCTCCACTATACAAAATTTGCATTATTTGCAATCTCGCCGCGTAGTAAAAAAGAAATACGCATTAAATGCTTCGAAACACGCGATCGTCTCGTCGCGTAGTTGTAATCCATCGATTTCTCTTGTATCTCTCGCTTGCAGCTCTTGTTATCTTTGTAAACAAAAAAAAAAGAAAAAAGAAAGAAAACCTATAAACTCCGAATAAAACGTGATATAGGTATTAAAGATAGCGTAATTGTCCGATGCTGCTGCGTATCTATATTGAAATGGGAAATTAGTTTGCGAGAATATTGAATAATAAAAGTCACGTTGCTATCCGACTCTCTTTTACTTCAGCCTCTTCTTTTTGCCTCAGTTAGAAACAAGATATAGGTTTGTTCTACTTTTGCGAGTCATTCTATACAGAGACGTGCTATCGTCAGCTGAGGATAGACGAATGTACGATTAATGTAACGAGGCAGAAGAAATTTCTTTTTTGCCCATGGCCACAGTCGCAATTAGTACGAGGATATAATTGGATTAGCAATTAAGTTGTAACAACACTATCTAGTTTGCGAGCTGTAAAATTCTGACATTAAATCTTCTCGATTAATTTTACGAAAATATAATTTGATAGAACACGTGCTTTTTATTTCACGTAAGAAACAAAGCATATGAATAAAGTATTGTAGATTTAAATGATTTAATTGATTTGCTTTCAATAATTAAGTTGTGTTATACATGTTTATACGATTCATTTACCATTCATATATCAAGAGTTGTAATAAAATGATTGTACGTGATAAATAGAAAATAACAATAGAAATCAACTTATTGTAAATAATTATAATATCGAGCAATTAAGCATTATTTTACGAAGGCTTCTGAATTTTCTTTCTTGATAAAATAATCGTTAAAAGAAAGAAGAGAGATGAGATTTATACTATAAATACTCCAATCTATAATAAACTTCCAATTCTTTTAGGAATCTTGAAATCTTTAAGGAATCTCAATTTTTTTTAATATATTTCATCAAAAAAGAGTTTGCAATTTATGCAAACATGATGATTTTAATAATTTAATATATTTCTAATTTAGATTAGATTGATTCTTTAGCGATTAAGCGGGAGAAAATGAATCTTATTATAATTTTTGCACAAGCTTAATTCCATAAATTCAGAAATTGTTGATAAAATCATGAATGGCATCGGATAATTTTTCGGTCTGTTTTGAAGAAAGGAGGGAAGCGTGTAGCGCGATTCCAAGTGTAAATATGAGCGGGCGGGGAAAAGTTCCGTATTGAGCACGGAGCGGCCGACCCTGCACGCGCTTGTTCCACTGGAGCCCTTCACTCTTACTTTTCTCCTGCGTTGCGTATTCGCCGGGCCGTGCGCGCGGCGTCGCCGCCGTCGCCGAGGCACGAGCGCGTGTGACCGAGTTTCGGCGGGATGATGATCGACCGCGCGAAACTCGGTCAAAGACCACCGACACCTTTCCGCGGCTTCGCTCGTGCACAGATAGCGGCGCGCGATATATTCGCGCGGAAATTCCCTGCCAAAGTCTTTCTCTCTCTCTCTCTCTCTCCGCAGCGTCTCTCTTTGCGCTTCGCTTCGAACAAGTTGATTTCCGCAACGCGCGGTACGTAAATTGCGTCGAAGCGCAAAACATATAAGTCGTCTCATCCTCCTGTCGTTCCAAGACATATCGGAGTTGTAAATTCCGTCGCGAATAGAAATTTTTGTTGTCTCACGGCTGAACCAGAGCCTTTCTGAGAAAGATCTTATCTCGCAAACATATGAATGTCAAATATTGATATAGAGCGTTATACATATATGATGTAAGCCATAGCGCAGCATCCGTTTCGCGATGTGTCGTGTATATTTTATACTGACGGAATTTTAATTTTGGGATATTCCTTATATTATATTAATTTATGAGAGAAAGCGAACTCTCTTTAAATTTATTTAATTTCTCTTCGTTCTCTTGTTGCAGATAAAAATATCGACCGACTCGAAGACTAGACTATGTTATTTCGGATAACGGATTGATCGCACCCGTCGCTTCATTCACACGTGAGTATGCATTAATGCATCCCGTTTACGTAGTCCACTTGCAGGAATATATAATTCGCGTTTCCCATTTTATTTCGCTGACGTTATACAACCTATTAATGACTCTCGTGAATTTTTACGATATTTTATCAAATATTCCGTCCACCCTGCTAAGATTAAAAGCCACATACAGAATGGACAAATGACCTTACACCTTACCATATGTATCTCCGAGAATAAGAGTGTCGCGAAAACAAAAACCCCAATGACGCGACCCGATGTTTGCGCTCATTTGCTTAGACATATCGGAATTATGATATCTTAGAATCTTATCTCCCAACGTAGCTCGCTTCTTGCTCGACTTCTCTTAGGTCGGACATGAAAAATCTTGGTTCGCGTTGGACGGTCCCCGACATAGCACGCACTGCCGCAGCGCGTTCGTCATTTCTCGTCGCCATTTCGCTGGAACGAGATTCAGGTAGCAGCAGCATCAAGAGCAGCTTGAACCGCAACAGAAACAAAGTTAGAAGTAGCGGTAGCAACGGCAGAAACAGCAGCAACAGCAGCAGCAGTATTCGCTTGACGGCGATCGACCAGAAGAGGGACAGCAAGAGCAACGGCGGATCCAACTTTTCGGCGAGCGACGTGCTGCACGGAGCGCATTTATCCGTCCGAGCGTACGTAAGGGCGCCGTGTGACCGCATCATCGGCACGACGCGTTCCGAATCGACGACGCCCAGAAACCGGCCGCTGGTAGCCGGCAAGTCGAGCCACCCTCAGCACCGGACCCGTCGTCCTCGTCAGCCGCAGCAGCAGCTCTACTACCACCCCGCATCGTGGGACACGCGCACACCACACTGCAGGAACTGTTAGCACCGATCAAAAGTGAGCATCATCTCGGAATGGGTGAACATCAATCACCTTTTTCTTCTTTCATTTCATACACCGCGATTTTATCTTTATTTAACACCATTTTAATTAAATGATTCAAAAATGTTTCTCATAACTCGTCTAAGAGCCTTGACGTGTTGTCAAACCGACGCTATATTCGTTCTTGACATCTTAAAATTATAATTTTATTTTATTTTCACGAATCAGTTGATTAGGACTCAAAGAAGGGTCGAAATGTTGTGATTTAATAAATAATATTTGCCAGTACGGTCGAGAGAAGAGTTTTACTTTTTTAAATTCTGTCTGGCGATTCTCAAATATCTACGTTTTTATTTTTTTAAATAATTCAATTTATTGCTTTGCAAAGTATTATCACCCTCTTCATCTTTTTCCCTTTTTTTCTTTCATTTAAAACACCGCGTTGCAAAAGTGAGTTTGGATATTAACTTTATTTTTCATTCTTTTTTATAATTTTATATCTTCATTTAACACCATTTCAATTAAATAATTCAATTTATTGATTTGCAAGGTATTATCACCTTCTTCATCTTTTTCCCTTTTCTACTTTCATTTAAAACACCGCGTCGCAAAAGTGAATTCGGATATTAGCTTTATTTTTCATTCGTTTTCATAATTTTATATCTTCATTTAACACCATTTCAATTAAATAATTCAATTTATTGATTTGCAAGGTATTATCACCCTCTTCATCTTTTTCCCTGCTTTTTCTTTAATTTAAAACACCGCGTCGCAAAAGTGAGTTTGGGTATTAGCTTTATTTTTATTCTTTTTTTCTTTCTCATAATTTTATTTCTATTAAATAACTCAATTTATTGATTTGCAAGGTATGTCATACCTTTATTTAACGCCATCAATTCATTGATTTGCAAAATATGTATCCAAACGAGTGTTTGAATCAGTATACGACTTTGACGTGTAGAGATCTTTCGATATTATCTTTTTTCATTTTTGCGATTTGATATATTTGCTGATTTTCTAATCGTTCGCAGGAAGGTGGCTCAGCTGTGTGCAGCCTAGACAATGTCCGAAGATTCTGACTCTATAACAGAGGAAGAAAGAAGTTTGTTCCGTCCGTTCACGCGGGAGTCCTTGGCAGCGATCGAGTCTCGAATCGCCGAGGAAGAGGCCAGGCAGCGGGAGCTTCAGCAGAGAAGAGCCGAAGGCGAGGTACGAACGCGGTCGTGTGCGACACACGAATGCGTATATATATATATATATTTTTTTTTTCAACTTTTTCTCGCGCGCGCATTAATTACATCGACGCATAATTGATCATATGTGCGTACTTGTGTGGGACATTCCTTGAGTAGCGCCAAATAAATTACGCGACTATACGTGCGATGATTCACATTCTTGATCCTCTTAAATTACATCGTTCGAATTATAAACGAATTATATATTTTTAATTTATTATTATATTGTATTTTTTTTTTCAATAAGAATCAATTGTCGATTAAAACGAAAATTTATCTGACGCTGCTGATTTTCCTGCCAAGTTTACGTGCGATCAAATTAATTTTCCTACGTAATCGTTTTCGTCCTTTTCGTTTACGTTTTTATGTTAATGTATAAAGCGAGCGATGTATATATAACAATTTTATAAAATTTTAGAAGCGCGAAGAAAAATAGCATTCGCTTAACGTGAAAATTATGCAGGTTATCTTACAAACTTTTGAAGAATTCGTTTCTTGATTCTTCATCAGCCGATAGCCATTGCGCCCACAGGCGCTTATATATGATATACGCTAAAAGTTTCCCATTAATTGCCACTCATACTTAAAATCATGTAATATTTACTCTTAGAAGTTATAATCGAGACGAACAGTGAGCAATTATAGGCAACATCGAAGGATATTAACGTTAGATATTTTCTTTCTAAAAAATTATAAGGTTGTTTTTTCAAAAATTTAGAAAAGAAATAGTTTTGATTAAAAAAGTTAGCCTGGTATCAAATAAAACAGATCAAAACTATAAAATGGATAAAGTACAGTTATGAAAGTATATCTCGGAAGCAAGATAAACACAAACAATAATAACGCATCTATATGATTCGCACGATTCAATCTACTTGAACAAGCAACGGAGACAAATAATAAAATTCAAGATAAAGCCTCGATTTATTATCGCACTTCAATTTCAAACAATTTTCTTCATTGAAAAAAATGATTGTCCTTAGATTTGTTTATTGATCTTAAGTATGAGCTGTATTGATCTTCCTGTGCCTTTAGCTGTAGCGCCGTTTGTGAGATCTGTTTTCTCCCCATACATTCGTCCGACTGCAACAAACTCATGGTCCTTTTACCTCGGTCCTGACTGTTGATTGCTCGCTTGATCTATCGCCACTGTAGTGAGGATGTAACTATCTTTATCGAGACGACTACATCAACCCTTATCTGTTTATACATACATATACATACATACACATATATATATATATATATAGATATATATATGTATATATATGTATATATATAAATATTATATGTCGTCGAGCAATGTATTGTGTATGTTATGAGTTATGAAGGATATATACCACGTACGCGCGAAGCTCGATATATGTTTGCAGTGTCACTTATCTGTGCCTGTTTATCATATATGTATAATACATATGTACATATGTATATATACACACATATATATATACATGCATATATACGTTATTTATGCGTGAATACTGCTCGTGTGTCGTGGCTCTCTCACTCCTCCATCCGTCTTTCCTCGCCGAGTTCGCGCTAAATGAATAACCCCGCGAGGGTCGCGCGATGAAAGATGGTATATGATTATCCACCATAGGAGGAGCGTATCAATGTATCTCAATCCAATGAACGAGCCTTTTTACATCCTTATAATTAGAGCTCCCAATTTGCCTCCGGCTATATGACAGCGACGCCGATAAAAGGAGCGGATTTATTTATCCCTTCCTCTCTTTTTCCTCTTCTGGTCCATCGTTCAACACGTTGATCGCGTTGTTTGAAAATTACTTTGGCAAAAAAAGCAAATCCTCTCCTTTTATTGCTTCCTTGTATTATACTCCAGCGATGAAAGATCAAGGAGAGAACGAGGGAAAAGCGAGATCGAGACTGGATTATCATCGAATGCAAATTTTCGATGAGCTGCATAATTGATTATTTGGAGACATTTCTCTTATTAATTCTGTGATATGTCACATTAATCAGCTGTTCAAGAAAGCAAGTACAAATTTTTCACGATTGACGTTTATGAGAATTTCGAGTTTCTAAACAAAAATATATTTCCGACCTGAAACATTGAAGAACAATGTAAAGTGTTTTTATTTTATAAAACCGTTTATTGAAGTTTCAAGAACCTACACTTCTCTGTGGTACAAAAAGTATATCTTTTCTATAATCGAGTTACGTGTTTTTTTTTTTTCTCGACAGTTAATCCAATCTCGATCGAGCTCGATGTGCTTGAACAACCCTCTTTCCGGCTTACCTGATCCTACGTATTCCTCGTCTATGTCGTGATGTAAACATTGTGTGTTTTTTTCCCTCACCATCTACCCTTTAGATCTGTTTCTCTTTCACTCTCTTTCTCTCATTCTTTCTCTTTTCTATCATTTGTTCATACCATTCAGCTCGTACTACTCCGAAACTATTATTGTGAATCGAGTTCGTCGCGTGGCGCGTCCCTTCTCTATGTTACTGCATATATTAGCATATATATATATTTTTTCTCTCTTCTTTATTCATATCCCCCGTATTCTCTGTATCTCTGTGTGTATATAACGACTGTTTCTCCATTTCTCCAATTTCAGGGAGGTTATGGACGGAAGAAAAGAAAAAAGAAGTAAGACGTTACGTCACGCTAAGTAATACCGCTCTCTATCTCATCCGACTTCTACCTTACTAAACACATACACACACACACAGGCCACATCTACGCCGATCGCATATATATACAATTATACATACACGTATACACTGACACACGCGTAAACACGCACACAGTCTCACGATTTCTCTTCACTCGACAGCACTTGGCCGATCGACTAGACACGCGTCATTCACTGCCGGACGTCACAAATACACGTATTCATGTACGATATACAATATACTTGTTCACATTTTGTACAAGGATGCAAAGCACGAATAATGAATTTTTCAATTTTTTTTTCCAAAAAAATTGGTATCTTCAATGAGCGATTTGACCGAAAAATAAAATAAAATCTGATAAAAATTGTGCGAGTTTTGATCAACTCTCTTTTGCGTTATTTCAATTTTTTATTAGACTTTTGTCTATAATATTTAAACGTATTCTCGTATTTAAGGAATTTGATGAAAAACATTTATTATCTATTTTTATCCGTCTGAATTATAAAATAGAGCAGAATACATTCGTGAAATGATAGTTTGACGGATTATTCTGGCCAGAGCGATATTTTTATTGAGAAATTGTTTGCAATAATCTCGGTATAAATTTTAACTTTTTTTGCGATTTTTAAGTCTAATATTTTTTTTTAAACGTCACTATCGATTCCGAAGCATCCACCGGTTTTAAATGGTCGCGAGGCTTTTCAATCCCTGGTTCTTTGCGTGGTACGGTGTATATCGATTCCTGAACGTCATCACCCCGAATCGATATATCGACGAGATACCAAAGATGTGCAAGTTTAATCCGCGAAGCATTGAATTCGAAATGTTTTGATTAATTAATTCGGTGAACTATTCTCGGTAAGATGGACAGAAAGAGAGAGAAAACTCGCCTGCGATATCTCAATGTCGCGGACTTTTCGAGAGTCTCTCTCTCTCTCTCTCTCTCTTATCGCGAATAATTCTTCATCTGGGTATTACATCGTGGACGAAAATATTGTGCGGTGAGGTCTTACTGGCAATAATGCACACAAAACACACACATACAGATACACACGTACACGCACACGCGATACAAAGCAGCGTGCTTTTATATATTGCCCCTTGTTTGTTTGCAAATACACATTACACGTTCCTTGGCAAGTGTCTTGACGTCTTACAATCAGAAGCGAACAACTGTGCTTGCGCTTTAATGCGCGACGTTCTCTCGAAATATATTTGTTGACTCTGTGCATCTCTATGCTCTGAAAAGCGTTTTACAGCTGGTGAGAGCTTGATTTTGTACTACCATAAATAGAGATATTTAACAAATGAGTAATGTGCATCAAATAGAATTTCGATAGCTTGCTCAACAATAACAAATCGACGATAACATCTCGTCGAAACTATTACAGTTAATCCCAAACTTGACTATGCAATAATTCAAGGGATTTGGAAGGTGTATCAAATCTGATAATGACTCGAAAAGCTATTTGAACTATATGCGCGTTCGAAGAAACGGGCATAAATGTGTCACTTTTGACACAATTTTAAAACGTATGATATGACATCGAGAAACACCGCAGGGTGTAACGCACAGAGCGATACGACATAAATATTTCGAGCGGAGGTCGCGTAGTCGCCTGGTAAACGCTTACATAGATTGTACATGACATACATGTATAACGCTTGCGCTGACTTCTTTCCTTTTCTTTCTCTTTTTTTTTCTTCTTTTTGAATATGAACTGGCGCGCACTGGCGATGCAGCTGCTTTATTCGAGCGAGCAAAGTACGCGAGTCGCGTACTAATATGATGGAGAATAATAATAACACGTTTTCTGGAATCGCTATATTGATTTACGATTCTCGTCGCGCAATATTTTAGGAAAAGTTGCGAGACCGAAAAGGCTTCGCCGTTCAGACACTCTGGAAACAATATTCATCTCCGGGGACGCCTCCACGGCGGGAGAGATCGAAGTCTAACGATAAATAAATGTCAAGTTCGGCGCGGAGAGAAAACGAGACAGCTCGGCTTCTCGACTCGCGCGCTCTGCTTCCAAAATTTTTACGCCCGTCTCGTGGTCGAATCCAAAAACGACGAGGTCGTCCAAAAGGGTGGCCTTTCATCGCGATCGAATCTTCACCGGGATTCGACGACGAGCGGATATATTTTCTCGCACGCACGAGCACGCTCCGCAAGAGAATTTTTCCCGCGCTGAAAAAAATCACCGACGTATATATATTATATATATATATATATATATTATATAAAACACTCTTGGCTTGCGCAAATTAGTCCTAGTCAACTAGATCGTATACACTTTAGCGTAGACACACCTTTATCAGGGTGTGTAGGACACACTTTCGGAATTTCGGACACGTGGAGTCTCCAGTTAGAATATTTTTTGTCGGATCGCGAGGTCGATCGAGCGGATCTCATCGTTTTGCGAGATTTTATCGCTTAGACTTTGCGCTTTCGCTGACGAGAATAAATCTCTGGTGAAATCGTTTAGCGAAGTTAAGATCTTGAACTCGTCGCGCATAAATTTACATAAGCGCATAAACGCAGACTGTATAAACCGTTCTGAGCGATGTAGGAGAGATGTACTTGAATAAATGAAGATTACCGTGTTCTCTACGTTATAGCGAATTGGATAGAGATTAGAATAGAGCTATATCGTGTTTAACGTTAGGCAATATTAGTCGTGAGTCTCAGTATAGAAAAATAGAAATAGACATTTTTAAATATGACTCGACCAGAGAAAGAGAGATTCGAGTTGTGGGCCAAAGTCGAGCAGATCACATCAACCTTCTTCAGGTTCGTATGTTTATGGCCCAAATTTATTACGCACTTAATACACGCGAACGTTTATTAATCTCTTATTATATATAATAATATATACATTTTTTATTCTATATAATATATATATTTAATGTATGTATATATATTTTATTATATATAATACTTTTTATTATATTATTATATATGTATACCTAACGTTTTTGTTTCCAATATTTATTGCTGTCATTTATCGACCTAGATAACTTTTCAATTAGTTATAATAATTATTATTATTATTATAAAAAAATAGTAGTAATATAATTCTTGGAGTTTTTGACGAGCGATCACGGAAAATTCAGTAAGTTTGATTGGAAAATCTGGTTTGTAGAGATTGGAAAATGAGATTGATCTTTTTGCGACTTTAGCTCGAACACGTGCGACAAGTATATAATTACGTTTATATTATATCGATCTCATTAGATTTCGAGAATCTGTTCCGCGACATACAGGCGACGATGCAGTAGAGTTTAGAGGGCTCATATAAAAGCGAGTTATGAATAACTGGTGCATTTAGAAAAGTACGCGGATGAATATTTCCAAAGGAGCGATTTGTTCGAATATTCATACGATTGAATATTTCACATTCGTAATTCGTGTACGAGAAAGTCAAATATGATGCAGTGTGGTTTTTGCCCTTCGATGCGCGATCAAGTTTATATATTTATGACCAACATATATATATATGTATACATATACTCTCATAGTACATATTCAGAACGTTCGTATATAAATGTATACTACAGTCATAATTTTTTTTATTTTCGTTAATCTCGCGTGAAATATAGCATGATAAAAAACAGAATATTAACTTTGTAGAAAATTACGTGAGATAACGAAATTTTTTAATGAACCTATAACGAGATTCATACTTCTTTGCAAAAAAATTGATATAATTTATATAATATTAAAAACTTTTTATATGATCATACATATTTCTAATAATTATTTATTTTTTTTTTGTTATAACTTTTAACGAGAGTAATAAAGTATTGTTGAAAATGAATTTTTCTGCACATATTAACTATCAAATGTGGAAATGCAAATGCATATACAATCGAATCTATTGTCCGTTTAATTTACGGTCGTCGAAGAAACGGATATTTTTTTGGAAATATTTGTATCATCTATTGTGCGCTCGATTATATATAGTGTTTCTCTCCATATACTCGAATATGAAATTGCGAATATATGCGATGGCCCAATTTGATCTTCCGTGCGAGACTTTCGCTGTCGCGTGGAAAATAATGGACGCATTAAAAATTACCTTTACAAAATTTAAAGCGCGACAAGGAAGGGCGAGGTCAATCCTTTTTTTTTTCCTCTCTACACGTCGGCGTCATATATTCGCTGAAAGGAATGTTACAATTCTGCTCGAACAATTCTGTTCTCGATAGAATTTGAATTTCAAATATCTCTCTCTCTCTCTCTCTCTCGTATATTTTTTAATTTTATTCTCGCGATAATAGTTCCTCGCGAGAGAATTCGAACGTTTGTATTTTGCGCGCCGAGCGAAAAATGAGCGTGATGAAACGACGGGACGATTCGCGTATCGGGATAATCTTACGAGCATCTCGTTCGCAGGTACGGTATGACGACGAGGACGAGGACGAAGGTCCTCAGCCGGATCCGATGTTCGAGCAAGGAGGGCCGCTCCCGGTCCGAATGCACAACGACTTTCCACCCGAGTTGGCCTCCACACCTCTCGAGGATATCGATACCTTCTACCACAATCAAAGGGTATTCCGGCCATATTGACGCACTAATTAGTTTTAACTCTCTTAGAGGTATAGAGTTTTCGCGAGATGCAGAGGGGGTTGCACCAACCGCATCTGGTGCAGCTATTTTCCAACTTTGGCTTTCAAGCACGTAATTTACTTTGTGTAACTCTTTTACAACTGTAATGGCATGCGACAAAAGCCATTATATACACATACATATGTAAAGGTCTTTTTATAATTTAAGCCTGTGGACATATCAAACTTTCGGAAATTATTTATTCAAGAGAAAACCTATTTTTTCCCGTAGTATTTTAGATTGATTTTTTCACTCGCGGTAAGTTTTATATCGTTACGGAAAAATATATTGCTATAAAACATATAGTCATTTTTTATTGACCATTGAATCTAGGTGAATTATATCGATACGACAGCATCGCTAAGAGAAAGTTATATATTATTTTAATATTTATATTTTCGCGGACATGAAAATTGAACATATATATGTAGAAAGCGGCACAAAGCGATGAAAAAAAAAAAAAAGAAGCGTTCCTTTATATATGCGGTTAATATGCAACGATGAATTTTAAAATACGCGTTTGTTTGCAGACCTTCGTCGTCATTAGCAAAGGAAAGGACATATTCAGGTTTTCAGCGACGGACGCGATGTGGATGCTCGATCCGTTCAACCCAATACGACGTGTGGCTATTTACATATTGGTTCACCCGCTCTTTTCCCTCTTCATCATCACCACGATATTGGTTAACTGTATACTTATGATCATGCCCACTACGCCCACCATCGAGTCCACCGAGTAAGTATCTTTCACCATTTTATTCGCGATCGATGACTCTGTCGAGAATCGAATGATTGATGGGGAAACAGGGTTAAATTATGTAATTACAACAAGCGAAGTGTTAATCGAGTTTTTTTTTATAAAAGACATAATTATCGGAAGAGATGAAAAACATTATTTTAGATATTCAGATCAATCTATAAAATACATTAACCTTTTGATAAAACGAAACGCATCAGCGATTGTGATAAAACTATGGATATATTGCGTGTTTAATATTATTCATTTCAATATATTAACACATTTAATGTGTATGTGTGTTCGTTTATTTTTTTGCTCTTATTTTGCATTACTGCAGTTAAAGGTATTTGAAAAGGCAAAATAATGTCAGCGAATAAATTTTAAAATCGTGTTTTGCGAAATTAAAAGTATATAAATATCCATATAGACAAAAATATCTATTTTTCAAAATATACAAAGACGCACTTAAGTTTGCCCTTAAGTGATTGTAAATCTACGTAGTTTAGTGAACCAACAAGTGCCTAAGCTGGAGATGCGTTTATCATCATCAATTACCAATTTTTTTTTTATTTTTAAGATTTTAGTCTATCTGTTAATACTTACAATTATATAGCTATATTCAGCTATTTTATTATTCATATTAAGTAAGAAAATCTCATCGAAGGCTTACGGTAATCATAAGTGTGTTGCAAAAAAATAGATATTTTAAGTATAACGTTCTACGTGTTATAGCTCTAATATATGAGTAGAGACTGTGATAAATTGTATTCCGTTGGTAAGTTTTGTACTAGTCTCTCTAGAGGTAGCATTAGAAGAGGGTGATAGATAAATGAGGCGAACGATTCGATCAATTGCAGCGTTTTTTTTAAACATGATTTCCGCGAATTTTGCAAAATTGCAGAAAACGATGTAAAAAGATTCAAGAGCCAACGAGATAAATAATTTATTAATATTCTAATATTATTATATATATTTATAATTGTTATATATAGCATCGATGCGCTAAATGCAAAGAGAGAGAAAAGGAAATTTAATTTTTATTATTTTATACACTTTACTGTTTTATTGCATTTATCCCCAATGTGACAAAATATGTTTCACAAAATTCAAAAAATTTTACGAATAATTCGTTTGCGTGAACCGTGCCTGATGATGCGAATACAGAGTACATATATGGTAGTTAATTTATACACGTTAATGCGCGATAAAATAGATGCTGAGTTAATGGTCAGAGATTATCGCTAAATAAATGCGATTAATCTTGTTGACCAAAAAGCAATATCATGCCACTTAATATAAAATTTCTTCGCTCGCATGTTTCTACATTTATTAAATAGATTATATCGTTGTGAATTATAGAGGTACAATAGCAGATAGCGTATTCGTTAATGACACGACAAATTAATTAACGTGATAATTAAATATAAAAAATAATTGTAATAAATTCAGTAGAAATGTATATAATTTCTCTCAAAAGTATTTTGCGAGAAGTCGTTTGCGCGTTTTTTTCCAGCCGTGATTCTAAACGCGACACTGAAACAAAATAGACAACAATCACGACATAAAACGCATTTAAAAAGCTGAGTGGTGTGTTTGTTGTTTTCAGAGTGATATTTACGGGCATCTACACATTTGAGTCCGCCGTTAAGGTGATGGCGAGGGGTTTCATTCTGCAGCCTTTTACCTATCTTAGAGATGCATGGAATTGGCTCGACTTCGTAGTTATAGCTTTAGCGTGAGTAGTTAAAACTTATTTTTCTTAAAGAGAGGGAAAAGGAGACAGACTGGGAGTGTGTGCGTGTGTATGTTTGTGTGAAAGAGAGAGAAAGAGAAAAAAATGAGAGGACGAAAATGAAACATAAAAAGACAGACGCGAGTACGGTTTTTACCCATCAGACTTGATAGACTATGATGGATAGAAAAAGATCGTGTCACCATTTTGTCGAGAGAAAATCATCGTGGAGATCCTGCGCATACTAATGAAGGTGTTCAAGAATATCGCTCTTATCTTCGTATATAAATTAAATATATCAGGCTACTTGGTAGCAAATGTCGATGTCAAAGATCGGAATTTATCGTACCTTTATCTTTTTCAGACTTTTTCAGAAACCTAAAAACAGGCTTTCCTAAAATTTGCGATGATCTTTACAGAAACTCTATTATATTCCTAAATCATTTCAATAGAAAACAGAGTGAAACATAAGAGAGAATTTACTGGCTATTAATGTAATCCAAAAGAAAAAACGATGGATCGCTAAACATATATATTATACGACAAATATGGTAATCTAAATTATGGACAGTCTTTGTGTATACCTAACGTTTAATAGTGACGCGTTGTATTTACGAAACGTTAATTAGCCTCAAGTTAGATCATTCCAGGTTACGACCGTAGACTACTTCGCTAGATCCGTCGAGTACGCTAACCGTAAGATTTCCGTAGCATCTCGATTAATATACGACTTCGTTCACATCTCACGTTCCATTATTACAATACAGACACGTATACGTAGACACGTACGCGCATACACGCATAAATACATACTCTGGGGTGTATTTATATATATTCTAGGTATACTTAATTTAGTTCACACCTAGATAGGGATAGTATTATTTCTTATCTATTAGTGACTATATTAAATGAGAGTTCTCTTATAATTGCCATCGTAATATGTTGATTAGACATTAGTACTTTTTACGTCGAGTCGATTAAGTCAGTTGACTATATATAATTGTTGTAGTTTTTAGTACATATATTATATATATATATTATATATCTCTATACATACATTCTCTTATACTTCAGTAATTGTTTATAGATGATTACGATTACGTGTATATTTTATTCGATACGCGGATATTCGACTGCGCATCGTAATATCGCCAATCGCGTGCCACGGGATTCAACAATTTTTCTTCGCTGTGTTTGTGAAATCGTTCATTTTTTTCGAAAAAGAAAAAAAAATTTTTTCTCTTTTATTCTCGCGACGAAGCTATCAGCGATATCGGAAAACGATTATGGATTTCATGTTCTAGTTCGAAGATTTAAGAAGCGCTTATATTAAAACTATGGCTCTTGAAATTTTAATGTCGCATTGCTTTTCCCAAGTGGGAGAAATAACTTGAGAAGCTGTTTTATTCTCTTCGAGATATATATAATACTAGTAAATTAAGGATACGAGACTGGGCTAAAAATTGTTTTATTTATTTATCGGACACGGAAATAATGCTTTGTCAGACGAAGAGAAATTACAAGAATGTCGGAAAATGTAATAAGGAATGAAGGATGGAAAAGAAAATAAGAGAAAATAATCGCGCAATCGAATTTGTTTTATAAATTTGTTTCAATGTCATACGTATAGCTTGAAAAAACTATCGATGGAAATAAAATGCAAAATAATCTTGGAATCCGTGGCAAGCGGCGCACGGTTGTGTTACATTGAATCGTGCATGCAGTAATAGCTACCTACTTTACGGTTTATACATTTTTGCAGTTCGTGCAGACTTTTTGGTAGGCCATAGGAAATGTAGCGAGTAAGCGTTTGCGTAAAAACTACCCACTACTTAATTTCCCCAGCCCCCCGATCTCTTTTTCTTAACTCGTCTTTTGTCTTTTTGTTTGTATCACTGTAATGTGTGTGATGTTCGGGTGTATTGCAGTTATGTGACGATGGGCATAGATCTAGGCAACCTTGCCGCTCTCAGGACATTTCGAGTCCTCCGAGCCTTGAAGACTGTCGCTATTGTACCAGGTATGCTTAGAGTATAGAAGAGTGGTTGTAGACGCAAATACCATATATATATATATATATATATATATATATATATATATATACATGTAGCGATCCTAGATATACAAGCTCCGTGTCGCGATCGTTTGTACACGTTTTCCGTATCTCGTCACACGTCTACAACAGTTTCATTTCATCGCAGCTTCTATTCGCCCTCCACGCATCGTTTTGCTCCACCCTTCATCTTTTCTCCATTTTGGCACCCGAATATTTTCGCATACCACTCTACGAAAATTCAATCTCTCTTCCAGGATCATTGCTTCTCTTCTTGCTTTCATTTCTTTCCTCTCGTTGTATAAATTATCGATTAAATTCGATGCGCTTAAAATCTTTTCGTACGGAGACGAAAAAGCTATCACATATCGTGTCCGACAATTTATCGAAAGAAATCTCTTTGACAATTTTGTTAGTTTATTTTGATCTCGGTTATAGGAGCATGTTTATATATACATCGAAGTCTCTTGATATTAAATAAGTATTCATGTCGCTATGCAATTAAGAAAAAACCGCGTGCGCTGTGAGATGCTCTCTTCCCTTTAAAACCGTTTAAAATTAAATATTTTTTCTTTCCCTTTTTTGTTTCTCTTTTTTGTCGAGTCTCCCGACGGACACTCATTTCACACTTCATCCACATGCCTGCCTCAATCGAACCGCCATCTCGTTCGCACGACAAGCCGATGTTTCTCCAAGCTGCCGCCGAGAGATGTTGTTACAGGCCTCTTACACTGAAATCCACTGTACCCTTCTGTTCTCGTTGTCTAGGTCTGAAAACCATTGTCGGCGCTGTGATAGAATCCGTGAAGAACCTGCGCGATGTGATAATCCTGACGATGTTCTCCCTCTCCGTTTTTGCGCTTATGGGCCTTCAGATTTACATGGGGGTCCTCACGCAAAAGTGTATAAAAAACTTTCCCGAGGACGGCTCCTGGGGTAATCTCACCAACGAGAATTGGGATCGATTCAATAGTAACAGCAGTAAGTAGCGTCGCGATTATATATTCATGAAAATTCGAAATATAATGAAAAAAAAACGTTTGAGAGTTTTCGATATTGTTGCCCATATGCAAATGTCTCGTTTGAAAAAAAAATTTCACACAATACGATCGGCGGCTTATAAGCCGTATGACATTTCAGTACTACACCTTTAAGCTTAAATGTCAACGTTAATGAAGAGCTTTGTGCGAGGTAAAACGAGATGCAATTATTTGCCCGACCAATTGATCGTTTCACGAAAATCATGAAATGTTTTTTTTTCGCAAAAAAATTAATTCCCGATAAACAATGATTAAATTGCGCTTTATCGTTATCCCTGTCATGCAGCTAATTGGTACGTGGACGAGGCCAAAAATATGCCCTTGTGCGGAAATTCATCGGGGGCGGGGTAAGTCGATATATATATATATATATATGACTCGCTTATCGAGTTCGTCTCCACTTGCAAATGCATCGAGGAAAGTTCGTGCGAGAGGTAATATTTTTTTGCGATGATTATAGGCAGTGCCTTCCCGGCTACACGTGTTTACAAGGATACGGCGGTAATCCGAATTACGGTTACACGAGCTTCGACACTTTCGGCTGGGCATTGCTCTCCGCTTTCCGTCTCATGACTCAGGATTATTGGGAGAATCTGTACCAACTCGTGTTAAGATCGGCCGGACCGTGGCACATGCTCTTCTTCATCGTAATCATCTTCCTCGGGTCTTTCTATCTCGTCAACTTGATCCTCGCTATTGTCGCGATGTCGTACGACGAGTTGCAAAAGAAGGCCGAAGAGGAAGAAGCCGCCGAGGAGGAAGCTATGAGAGTAAGTGCTGAGGGTTTTTTCACATTCAAATTAATCCAATTTAAATAATTCTCCGAAATTGTTAAAATTGAGTTTATTGTTTCGCAAAAAAATGAGATAATAAAAAAAAAATTCATAGACGAAAAATTGCTAGAGTTGGAAACGGAATTAAAGGATCCATATTCGATGTATGTTGACAGGAAGCCGAGGAGGCTGCGATAGCAAAAGAGAATAAGCTTGCAGCTCATGCTGCGGCACGAGAAGCTGCGGCGACTGCTGCTGCAGCTGCAGTTGCTGCGGATCAAATTGTCAAGTCACCGTCAGACTTTTCGTGTCACAGTTACGAGCTGTTCGTTGGCCAGGAGAAGGGAAACGACGACAACAACAAGGAAAAGATGAGCATACGTTCGATCGAGTCCGTGAACGATCAGAGGCACATCAAGCAGATCAATAACAACCACAGCGCTGCCAATAAAGTGCGAAAAGTCAGCGCCGTAAGTATCCGGCTATTGGGCGATATATATGTATATTATATACATACATACATACATACATACATATATATGTATCGACCTTCTTCCGCGTCGTTTGACGTAATGTACCGTGTTGGCCGCCCCACCCCCTATTATCAACCTTACAATCTCCCGACCTCGCTCCTACGAGAGCAACTTATGCGAGGCTTTCGATTCGACTCGACTCGTCGGTCGACTTTGCGATTGATCGCGGAATTTCAAGAATCCCGCTCGCTTCCAAGTCAGGTCGAAAGCTCACTTTCCGAATATATGTATTATAATATTATATATAGGACTTGATACGTATTTATTAACTCGCCTATCCAAGACGTCTCGGATCAGTAGAGAGAAATGGCGAGTGTAATAAATCTGGTTAGGCGAACTTGATAATAATAACTTACATGCTGCTGTTACGCAGGTATCGAAATATATCCGATAGGATATTCTTGCTAATCAATTTTATTAGGACTAGGAAAACGTGATCGATGGTGATAGGCGCGATCAAATTAGAGCGTCTACTTTGATATCTCATTCTTTTAATGGACATAGCAAAAGGAAAAAAAAATAGCCGCGACGAGTCGAGCCTTCCCGTATTCATATTTACTCATGTAGCATGCTTGGCGTATATAGGACGTCCCAAAAAATATTTATCTGTATAGCAGGGTTGTTAACTTTCAAATACATATAGATTTTCGTAGCAGATGTGCGCGCCCGAAGGAGATTCGAATGTTTACGTCCGCGTAAAAAAATTGGCGAGAATATTTCATTGAATAAATTTCTGGCACGTCATCTTGATATTTTAACGAAGAGAGATGTTGACAACTCTCAGCCTCTATCTAAGAGCTCTGCTATTCTCGTACATCTTTTTTGGGATTCGCTACAAATGCTCGTATTATGTCATGAGACCCTTTGGATCTATATATATATATACATATGTATAGGTGGCTTTATACGCATAGAACCCGTCTCCCTCTCATTGATCGTTCGCTCCAGTTATAAACGTAAATACATACATCTTCAACGTGTCGAGTATCACTGCTTCGATGTTGCGATTGCGCGTAGTTGTAACGCGCGGAACAGTGAATTTCGGCCGTATCGACACAGAGTATACCGGACATACATCCAATTCAATCCTGTTTTACGGAGCCCTGCATGCAGAGAAGTATATGCTGTAGATTTAGTATCTTTAGGTTGGGGAGAGACGAAATATCGGCTGTTGCTTGGATCGATACCACTGCTCGAAAGAGATACAATTTCAATATAAAAATGCGAGAAGTAATTTATTCTTTTATTTATTTCCTTCTTTTTTTCTTCTCTTATTTAACACGCATGCACATCTTGAATCGAGATAACAAAAGATTCAGATCAGGATAACGAAAGATTCAATAATAATACACCTCCTACATTTACTCTGACTGATTGACGCAATCGCCGATATATATATCTTCGTGTCTCTACAGATTCACGTTTTTCCGTTTCTTTTTCGCTATAGATTCGCGACTTGTCTCTCTTGACGAGCAACAAGAATATTTTCTTTGCGACCCCTGTAATTTTCTTTCCCGTCCCTCTTTCTTTGATCTCTCTCACATTCACAATATGTTGTGTTGTGTGTTGCTTCTGCAAGTGTTATGTATCATACTCTACCTATTTCGAGTGCCTCGTTGGTGTACACATTAGATCACGTTACGAGCCGTTTGGTAGGAGATATCTTTTCTTGTTTTTTTCTTAAGGTCCCTCGCGCCGCTAATGGCCAGTTTACTTATGCCTACCAGGAAAGTCTGCGGAAGGTACGTGTGTCACGACGTGTGTCTATCAGCACCGACCGTACGTACACTAAATAGCACCATAGGACCCGATCACGATCGCTCACAAATGATATACATATATGTATATATATATATATATATATATATATGTATATCATCATATCTTCGAGCTGCCGGCTGCCATTCATCAAAATGCTCCGCGCGTTACCGGCAACGCAGTTGTCGAAGGGACGGAAGGGCCTTTTATAAATTTCGCTTCGTCTCGTTTCCGCTTCGTCACGAATTCCCGGACTCGTGACAAGCGCGAATCATCACCGATGATCGATCGTTTCGCGTTTCTCTATCCCGCGTATTAACGAGTCAACCGTGAAATACGCCCGACACGTTTGGCCAAACGTTCGTTCTTCTCTTTCGAATCCACTCTTTTTCTTTTCATGAGTCGCGCCGAGTAGGAATGATCGACGTCGCATGATAGAATTTAATTACCGCGACACGATATTCGACTTGGAAGATGACCAAATAGGCAGTCTGATAGCCATCGCTTCGTGTTTCGTAACCGAACAGTTAAAATAGGGAAACGGGAACGAAGAGTCATTTGCTGTGTGTAACACAATTCAAAAATTCCAAAAGATGCATACATTAGTTTACTATATTTTTCCTGTCACTCGAGAGATCTATACTCGAAAATATTCACTCGTCACAGCTCGTGACTCTTCAAACTATATCCTTTAAGCGTCTGGGCTAGGTTGCGATCGATTTCGCGAGCGATTGATATACAAGCGGGAAATGTCACGATCGTCCCGAGGGAGAGTCACTCTGTAGAAAAAAGAGCTAGGAATAAGAGAAGGAAAGGGAGATAGATGGAGAATAAGAGAGACAGTCTTTCCGGCTGGTTCTCGCCTCCTGGAGAAGAGAACGGAGAGAGAGAGAGAGAGAGAGAAAAGCGGTGGACCGCCTTGTTGTAATTTCAGGCGAGCCTGAGCCTACCCGGCTCACCGTTCAATCTGCGGCGCAGCAGCCGTGGCAGCCACCAGTTTACAATACGCAACGGTCGCGGCCGATGCTTCGTCCCGCCCGGCGGCGACCGGAAGCCTCTCGTGCTGTCAACGTACCTGGACGCCCAGGAGCATCTACCCTACGCCGACGACTCGAACGCGGTCACGCCTATGTCCGAGGAGAACGGGACGATCGTGGTGCCGATGTACTACGCGAATCTCGGCTCGCGTCACTCGTCGTACACGTCCCACGCATCGCGGCTCTCCTACACGTCCCACGGCGACCTGGCGTTCCCCGGGATCCGCGGCATCGACAGCATCGGCAAGCAGCTCACCAAGCAGGAGCAGATCCTCAGGAATCGCACCAACAAGCAGACGACGCCTGCCAACGGCCACGTCACGGACAGCAATCAGAAGTCCTATCACTTCGTAAGTGGTCCTTTAGTTATTGCTTGCATTCCATTTACTTATTTATTTAAAATGGAAAGCAAGCTATTATATACTGCCGAATATATCATGAAGAATCGATGGATAATTTGAAATCGTTTTTTTGCGAATTTTTTTTTTTTAGGAAACCGATCTGGAAGATCCCATGGGCAAGACCAAGCAACAAGACAATCCGTTTATCGAGCCGTCTCAGCAGCACACCGTGGTCGACATGAAGGGTGAGATCGACGCGTCGATTGTTAAATAACACTGTTCAACAACAAAAAGATTCACCAGAACGAGACTAGTTTCTTGTAGTTTTTTGAACGCTGAATACGAATCGTCACTATTTTGAGAAATTTTTAATTATAATATGACAAAATTCTTGAAAAGCTCTTTTTGCAACTTTAATTAAAAATTTCTCAAAATTGTGACATGATGGAACGATTTGGATTTGTACTCAGCATCCAAAAAACTATAAAAAAACCTAGTCTCGTTCTAGTGTTTAAAAAGGCATTTTTTTGTTGAACAGTGTAATTAACGAGCATCTCTCGAGCACTTGAAACTTACTTTGCCATTCTTTCGCAGACGTGATGGTGTTGAACGACATCATCGAGCAGGCCGCGGGCCGCCAGAGTCAAACGCCGGAACAAGGAGGTAATTTCCTCTCTGTCCGCATTTCCTTCGCCAAGAAGGCATCTCAGAGAAAATATATGGTTTTTTTCTTCTTTTTTTGTACAATTTCTTTTCCGTTTATTACCCCGTCGCAAATGTGTATATCCTGTTTATCGTGCGATAAGCATCCCCGCCGCTCGATGTACATTATACATGGTTTTAAAATTCTCCCGTCACACTATTAATACTCCCTTGCGTCGGTATTTACTTTGCTGAATATATATACCTGAATATCCTCCCCCTCGCGCGCGCTTTGTACATAGTGTGACAACAGACCGAACAAGTTTCAGAGCTTTAATGTTCCAACCCAGCCGACGCCGCAGCCGTAAGATCGCACGCGTGTTTCCTTCGATTTTCGTTTATTCGATTGAGCATGGTGTGTAAATTGACGCTATATACACATATATGTATAATACATATGTATACAATGAATCGATATAACACATATCGTCAGAAAATTTGATATCGAGTATATTTGAGTATGATGAATAATGGTAAAAAACGAAACGCAGGGTATATTGTGCCTCTTCTGAGCAACGTGATGCGACGAGAAAGAGTCACGAATTTGCGGGCCTCGATGGGCCTTCGAGGGCGGTTTGTGAGAGTAATTTTTTTGGGGAAACAGAGTTTGCTCGTTTCCTGCGACATGACACAGATTACCACCTTCGCCGCAGCTGCACGATCCTGGTCGCTTCATGCTTCTTTCGGATTATCTCAATCGTCGATACTGGCCGTAAATCATTCACGCGACAATTTCCGAAAAATATATTTACCTTCAAGATACTTTTTTTTTGCTATAAATATATTCATATATATGGTCTGTATTTTTATTTTTTTACAAATATATTCATATTTATCAAAAAAATATGAATACAAAATAATGTTGATTTGTAAATTTGGATTGTAAAATTTGCTTTATAATTTTAAAGAGGAACAACATTTATTTCATATGTCCTCGATATATTTTTTCCTTCTTATACTTCATCGATGATTGAGAGATCTTGTTTATCTTTTATTTCCGATACGAAACTGCAGCGATTTTGGTTAATCTTTCAATATTTTGCACGTCCATCGCCGCGTTGCGGTGCACTGTTTGTTTCCCGAGTGCACAATACAATGAGAAAATCTATTTCGAAAAAAAAAAAAAAAGAAAAAACGGAGGTATCACAACGCGTTATTATCTGTCGCGAAAAATATTCGGTCATCGAGATTCAAGTTTTTTGCACGCAAAGCAGTAAATCGCACTTTCGCTTTATTGCGTCCGCGAATTTCGTCGACACAGCTATTCGCGAAAACAGTATTTTTCTGAAGACTCCACGCCGACTTGCCGCTTGATTTAAAAGATACACAGTGTGTAACTGCGTTTGTTAACTGCATTTAATTGTCAAATGTTTGAGTTACAAAGGATTCCACGTGGTTACGTTTATTCTTGGTTGTCATTAATCGCTTAATTGCAACAACGCATAAAATTTAATCCTTTCGCCGCAGAAACACATTTCTCTCAAAAATCAGATAGTAAGCAAGATTTGTGTTTTCTTAATTGTCATTGTTCAATCATCATAAATTTTTTACTTAATTTAATTTTGGGAGAAGAGTTATAATAAATGGCGAAAGTATTAAAATATCTCAATTATTTAAAACGTTGTAATAATTAAATTCTCGAATGCGCTATAATGTTATATTATTTGTTGCCTTGCACATCATTCGCGCCGTGCACGATGATGTTTTTGTTTAAAAAAATGATTAATAACATCGATGTGTGAATTTTTATGTTTATACAAAAGAGAGAATTATAACATTTTTTTAAGGATGTATTTTATACCTCAAGATATTTTAAATATAGCGCATTTTATGTATCCAGATTTTTTTATATTACATGGTTTTTTTCACATCGACTGAGTGTGCGTGTGTGTATGCTTTTTTAATTTTGCCACGCTTTCTGCTTGACTGCCTGCTTGTAAATATAATCTGTGATCTCGAAGAATGAGAGCCTGACCAAAGAAAAACCTCTTTCCCCAAAAAGAGTGGTGCCAGACAAAATTACTAACGCGCGTTACAGTTTCGACCTATTACTTTCCGACAGACGACGATGAAGAAGGGCCTACGTTCAAGGACAAGTTATTGGCCGGAATGTTCCGTTGTATCGACATCTTTTGCGTCTGGGACTGCTGCTGGCTCTGGCTCGAGTTTCAAAAATACGTGTCCTTGTTGGTCTTTGATCCATTTGTAGAGCTCTTCATCACGCTCTGCATCGTCGTTAATACGCTCTTCATGGCGTTGGACCATCACGATATGGACAAAGATATGGAAAGAGTTCTCAAATCTGGCAATTACGTGAGTGTTGCCAGTGTTTTAATATTCTTTGCATTCGGATATTGTATGAATAGATATACGTAAAGAAATATTGGTCAAAACTTGTAAAACGTTAAAAAATTTCGAGATTTTTTTCGAGATTTTCAACAATTGTCGAAGCAATTTGAATCTCTGCGTGATTGAATTAAAGACATTTAATAAGATTGAAAAGTTCAAATGTTTAATCTATTTTAATTGAAATTCCAGTTCTTCACTGCAACATTCGGTATCGAAGCGTTTCTGAAGCTAGTAGCGATGAGTCCGAAATATTACTTTCAAGAAGGCTGGAATATTTTTGACTTTATCATCGTCGCTCTTTCGCTTCTGGAATTGGGTTTAGAAGGTGTGCAAGGACTGTCGGTATTACGATCATTCAGATTGGTGAGTATCATATATAATATATACATATATATATCTCATTTCGTATTTTATAATTTTTGATATAATTTACAATTTCATTAATCGATGAGTAATATTTCACGAATGAAATAAACCGAAAAAATGAATGATTCTTTTCAGCTAAGAGTGTTTAAACTGGCTAAATCGTGGCCTACGTTGAATCTGCTGATCTCCATCATGGGCAGAACGGTGGGCGCGCTGGGTAATTTGACGTTCGTGTTGTGCATCATTATCTTCATCTTCGCCGTGATGGGTATGCAGCTTTTCGGCAAGAATTACGTCGACAACGTCGACCGCTTCCCGGACGGCGACTTGCCCAGATGGAACTTCACCGATTTCATGCACTCTTTTATGATCGTTTTCCGGGTGTTGTGCGGAGAGTGGATCGAATCCATGTGGGATTGCATGCTGGTCGGTGATGTCTCTTGCATACCATTCTTCTTAGCCACCGTCGTCATCGGTAACTTGGTCGTAAGTATAAATGCAAAATCTTTCTCTCTCTCCTTGACAGTACAAGTTTCAAAGTCGATATAAAATATTTCTCATTTTATGCAAGAGAATAAAAATTTTGTCGGATAATTTGATACGCTTGTCAATATTGTCGATGCAAAAATCAACGCTCAATTCAATTGTCAATTCGCCGAATTGATCGAATCATCGATAAACGGAATGTTACTTTTTCCACGGAACAGGTCCTGAACCTCTTCTTAGCTCTGTTGCTCAGCAACTTCGGCTCGTCAAATCTGTCAGCCCCGACTGCGGACAACGACACGAACAAGATCGCGGAGGCGATCGATCGCATAGCACGTTTCATTAAGTGGATCAAGCGAAATATTCTTGGTTTTGCTAAAATGTTGCGAGCCAAATTCACCAATCAGATATCCGATCAGGCGCCAGGTGAGGGACCGTCCAACAGTTGGAAAGAAGGTTTATATCCAATCAGATCGCTTGCTGTGTGCGCTGTGTAGTTTCGTGGCACTGTCTTTCAGTTTTTGCTTTACACTTCTTCTACACATTTAACTGGTGCCAGTCGGCGATCAATTATTAATAGAACGCGATAATAATCTATGATCTATAATCTAGAGAGAGATTCGAAGCGAGATTCAATATTTTTTCTGCTCTCAGAATTAAAAATTGAATACATTATTTAATATTAAGATTTACTTTAAGCGTTTCATGCATTTCTATCGACTTATTAATTTTATAATGATATTAGAATAAAGCATATGTATATATACGTCGGCTGGCATATTTGATTTATTACGCAGACTCTTTCAATTTTACTTGGTTTGCTATTCTGCTCCGTTAAAATCGACGTATTGCATTGTAATAAAATTTACAATGCAATGCAGACTTACGATCTGATACGAATAACAATTGTTTCAACTGTATTTTTTTTTCGGCTCGGGATCAGCCGAGTTTTGTCATCTTATATTTCATAGCTTTCGGAAACAACGAAAAGAGAGACTAATAGTTCGATGTTTAATACATCCTGGTGGGATTAATTGCGAATTAAGTTTTGTTTCGCTGATTAGCCGCCTGGCAGTTATACGTTGCTATGCATCCTATTTTGGGAACGCATTTTACTACGTAATTTCAGTGAATGAAGTTGTCAACGATGAAGTTGGTCGTCTCTTCAGCGGGATTTATCATTAAGCAGAACATTTAGTCATATAATTCAGTTTATATAAGAACTTGCGTGATGCGTGCCGCATTTCTATCAACGAGTATAAATTGTCTCAATTAGAAAAGAATTCTTGGCAAGAACGGATACGCTGGCACAGAATGCTATGAGTTTCTAAAGATATGTGTATGTATATTCTCTTTATCTAAAGGTCAACAGATTGAATTAAGTATAGTTTTATCAAATATCATATATTTTAAAAATTATTATGCTTTCATGATGATCCATTAGAGAAAATTACATTTCTTTAATTAAATTTACTTAACAGTTTGCATTAGCAAAATTCATATTGATTTTGCGGTTCGTTTATTTATCGAAAATGCTAGAAATTATTAGAGATTTTTCACAAATATTATACATGTCAATGCAGCAAGTATCACACAGGTAAAATAATCTACGATGTGAATTGAGATCCGCATCGTTTCCAAAGTCATCGACGTCACTGAATCTAAATGACACTGTACACGATTGCATGCAAACAATATCATCACAAATCCTGATTCCTCGATCCGACGTATTTGGGGATCGCGACGGAAAACAATATACGCCTATATGTGAGAAAAGAACATGTATATATACATATATATATATATATATATATATATATATATATATGTCTTACAGGACATATTATATTACATATATAAATAAAAATTTTCTTCCCATATATACATATATATATATGGGAAAAAAATTTTTATTTATATAATTTTCAGCGCGTTCCGATTTGTTTTCCGATACGAATCTCCTTTTATAAGAGCGGGTTAGAGATTTTGTATAACTGTGCAGATGGGATTGATCGCGATGGGGACCTAGATCTTGCAGATGGCGAGTTGGACGCATACAGAGACAAGAAGAGCGCCAAAGAGCTTAACCAGCTTGAAGTTGCCATTGGCGACGGGATGGAGTTTACCATTCATGGTAAGCGTATCGAAAACCAACAAAAGCAAAATCTCCTATGATAATAATAATAATAATCCTCTTGTCTTCTATAATCAACAGAGAGCTTGATGTGTTAAAGTGAATATAATTTGATTTTATCAACTTTTTTGTGCATCTCTTAGCGGTTTGCTGAAAGAATTATTGCAGAAACTCTGCTCTGTAATGAGTATATAAATTTCTCTTATAATGTAGAAATTAAAAGAAGAACGTTATGCAAATTTTCTGTTTGCTTTAAAAATCTGAAGAAACATTGACGCGTACATATATTTTTTTAATACATAGTTCCTATTATGAAATTTTATATTTCGCAAAATGGAAGATGTCATTGCAGCGTTATTAATGTACCGAATCTGTTTTTCTTCCTAAAGGAGATTTGAAGAACAAGCTGAAGAGGGGCAAGCTGTGCATGAACAATACGAAGGTTATCGGGAATTCAATAAATCACCACGATTATAGGCTCGACAACGATTACATTAATCAAAACGAGGATGATACCATCAGGTCGGCAAACTTTTTCCTAAATTATTCATCTGTAGTAACTGTCAAGAGCGTTCCTTATTCCTTTGTCTCTTCAACAGTAATAAATCATATGGCAGTCACAAAAACCGGGCATTTAAGGACGAAAGTCACAAAGGCAGTATGGACTCGTTAAACGGCGAGGAAAAGAAAGACGCGAGCAAAGAAGATCTGGAGCAGGAAGAAGGTAGTTTTAATTTAATTTGGAGATTTACATAACTTTGTGAAAATTCTGGAAAAAAAATTGGAAAAATTCGAACGGCAATCGCGAAAGAAACTTTTATTATGAACTTTTTCAAGAATTAAAAAAAATGTGTAAAATTCAGATTTAGAAGACGAGGGCGAAGAAGGGGACGAGCTGGACGTCGAGATTATACACGCGGATGAAGATCCTATTCAAGCGAATTATCCTTCCGACTGCTGCCCAGAAAACTGCTACAAGAAATTTCCATTCCTAGCCGGTGATGACGACGCTCCGTTTTGGCAGGGTTGGGCAAACCTGCGATTAAAGACCTTCCGGTTGATCGAGAACAAGTATTTCGAGACTGCCGTCATCACCATGATCCTTCTGAGTAGCTTGGCCTTGGTAAAATTCGTCGTCTTATTTTTGGTCTACTTTATCAATCAAAAATTTACCTGGAAAGTCAATTAATCGAACAATTTGCAGGCTTTGGAGGACGTTCATCTTCAACAACGACCTGTCTTACAGGACATATTATATTACATGGACCGAATATTCACTGTGATCTTCTTTCTCGAGATGTTGATCAAGTGGCTGGCTCTAGGATTTAGGAAATACTTCACGAACGCCTGGTGCTGGCTCGACTTCATCATCGTCATGGTAAGTCACTTGTTTCTCTCTTCAACATCGCAATTGAATGAAATGAGAAATGTTTGATTTTGTACAACGTGTGCAATTGATGCCGCTCGGGAGGCTTGATTTAATATCCGTAAAGGATTTTCTTAATAAAGATTTAGACGTATAAAACGAAGATCTCGACACTTATAAAAGCTCAATTGCACACTTGACAAATAATTTACGAGAGGAATCTTGTCGTTGTCTCGAATGGCTTCGTACATTTCTATCATATTATATCTCTACATCGTATATGGTACGATGTTCACGTCATTTCGGATAATCGTAAATTACGATATATAGTAGCAATCTCATTAAGTTAACGGCAGTCAGGAATCTCGGTCGCGTGTAATCGTGAAAGTAAATCGAAGTCATTCGCGATACGAGGTCGCAGAAAAATATCGTTCGTCCGTGCTTCGATAAAGAGAGAACTTAGATATCGATAAGTCAAGATTAAATAACATATATATTTTGCGACAGATATAAATAATTGAATATTCTATAGATATAAAAATCGCAGAGTGTCGGCGCACGGATAAATCTATAATTCCATTCTTTATTTTATCTATCCCCCTTTTTTTTCTTTCTTCCCCTTCTTTCATCCCTCTTGATCAACTAACGCCGATGAAGCGGTGGGAGCCGAGCGTGGAAGCTTCCGAGGTGGATTTCTCTTAATCTCTCGATCGTCATTAAGTATATTATTGTAAGGACTAACGCAAATTATTTCCCGTCTGATGAATGTTTGATGAAACTAGCTATCACTGATCAACTTGGGCGCAATCTGGGCCGGCGCAGCCGACATCCCGGCCTTCCGTTCCATGAGAACACTGAGGGCCTTGAGACCTTTACGAGCAGTCTCACGGTGGGAGGGCATGAGAGTAAGTCATCGGTCGACGAGGACTTGAAAAGCGAAAGAATTAAAGCAAAAGAAATTCAGCCTGTTATCGCAACGACGTTTGATGGATCGTACGGAACTAACGGATCGATCGTTATATCACGATGGCACGTTTCATTTGTCCGAGCCGGGCGGAGCTCCGATTGACGAGGGACTGCCGGTTTTGCATGGATTGTTCCTTTTTCTCTAACTGTCTCTCTCTTTCTCTTTCTCTCTCTCTCTCTCTCTCTTTCTCTCTTTCTTCCTAAGTAGTCGTGACAGTGTCGTGACGATAAATCGATTGCGAGCCAAGAATACTCAAAGTCGTTTTACAGGATCGAGGATTTAAGCTTTGACTAATATTTCTCTCTCGATGACAATAGAACCTTATTTTATTTTTTGTTTCATTAAAAATTGATCAGTCGTCTATTTTTTTTTTTTTTTTGAAATTTATGTAAAATATATTCAGCTCTTTTTCTCTCCCGTCTTCTCTCTCCTCTTTAGTTTCTTTCTATTCGCGTAAAAGTGTTTGTTTGGTGGTATCGAGAAAGAATGATGTATATTATCGTTCTGAATATAACACAGTCAAGGCGGAGATCGTCGGATCCTTTAGAACGAGCTGGATTGATTCCCGGCTCGATTCCGATCGATTGCGAGTAATGAAATGATCTCGATGGAGCACGCTATCGATCCGTTGGACGCGGTACGAAGCTTCGGCTTTTAAAATATTCGTTGTGATTAATGGGAACGAGGTGAAAAATCGGGAATAAATAGGGGAAACGAATATAGCTACGGCGGGTGTAGCTTGTGCATTACGGTGTACTATGGTGTGCTTACCGGATGTGCAGAGATACACTGGCGTCTCTACTTGGTGTCTGCACTGATACTGGAGTCATTGTCGTACTAGCTAAAGTCGCCTATGTACGCCTTTTTTCTAAGAGTCTCTTGGTACCAGTGATCGTTGTGCAAAATATACCAGTATATCTATATATAATATATATGTATATGTATATATATTATATATATATGCTTTTTGTGTAGTGTAAAAACTTCCTCGTATGTATGTGCGTATGGATGCCACGTGCGTCAACGCGCGCGATATGTAATATGTTTATCTCAAAAGACATGTAATATTTTTCTTAGATACATATCGCGACGCTCCGATGCGAGTAACGTGCCTAAAATTTTGCGCGACTCTCCTTTAATATAAATAATTGAGAGATGAGAGCGAATGTGTATATCTATCAATTTCTGGCTCGTAATTTTGCGTAATTGAACGCAATGACTTTTCACGCTGAATTAAAACGAGGGACTCGCATGGTGCGACGTGATCGCAAGTATGACAACCTTTTCGTCTGTTTCAGGATGCAGCCGATAGTACTTGCTCGTAACGATAATCCCTACCGAGCTGTTTGTCGTTCTATCTCTTTTTCTGTCTTTGATTGTGTGTGTGTGTCTATATATATATAAATAATGTATGTGTATATAAAGGCATATGTATTTTTCCATGTACAATATATATGCACATACACACAGTCATGTATATCTCCTGATAATTGTTAAATGCTATATGTGCCGTACCTGAAATCTCTTTATATGCCTCTATCTCCCCTCTTTATACATATATATATATTTATATTTGTCGTATCATATTGAAACGTAGATTTATTCTGTAAGTACCGTTACGTTCTTCTCTTATTTTCGTAAATATCAATACCAGTTTCTCATTTATGATATTCGCGTGTAAAACGCATAAAAATATCTCTGCGCGAAATGTGATTTATTTTCTAAAAGCGTTTAAAATCTGTGTACCTATGTATTTCGAAGTAATTTAAATATTATTGTCAATAGTGACATTTTTTGTTACCGATATAATTTTTTCTACATTGTGCACATTTAAATACTATGAATTAAAAAAAAATCTCCAATTTTTTCTATGAACCCTCAAAAGTGGCGGTACTTATGGCAGAGTGATATAATAATGTACATACGAGTATATATATATATACATACATATATATATATATATATTTCTATATATATAGATATAGAAAATGTCGGTTCTTAACATATCGACAGCCCTTTCCCCCGAATTTTTCGTCTTTGTACAGATGTCCAAATGTCTCGATCCGTCGAGGAGTCGAAGAAACGCCAGTACAACGTCGATCTCGGCCGTCTGTCTCTGTTTGACTTTTTTCCACCTTCTTTCCCGTCTCCCATCTCCCTATTTATCCATACAGGACGTTTTCTTCATCGAAAAATTGATGAAATCTCCTATCCCTCTTATCCACCCGTCTGTCTACCTCTCGCTGTGATTCGCTCTCGTTTCTCGCTCGCAGGTATCGCTCATTAACTTCGTAGCGTCGCTCTGTGGCGCTGGCGGGATTCAAGCCTTCAAAACAATGCGGACCCTAAGGGCCCTAAGGCCGCTAAGGGCGATGTCTAGAATGCAGGGGATGCGGGTATGTAACCCACCGTCTCAGCAGACCTTGTCACTCGCTATCTACGTCTGCCCCGTTTGATGACGGCAGAGTCGAAACCTCCTCCTTTCTTCCCTTTCGACGGCACTCTACATTTCCGTCTACGTTCACTTCCGGTACCAGTTTTGGAGCAAAAAACAATGTACTCCGTCATTTAATTATGTTAATCCCGCGAATACGTCGGGAGAATGTAACGGTATCGAAAGAGTGTTCAAATATTTTTTTCATACGAATATCTACTTGTGATCTAATTAATTGTAAATAACTAGTATAAAATCTCATTATACGAGAATTATATGTAGATGTAAAAATAATCGCGTGATCTCTAAAAGACAATATTAGAGTTTCTAAAAGACAATTAATGTTGACTTATGACTGAATGAATCTTATTTAGAATTGTGATACGGAAGATTTAAAATACATATCTGAAATGAAAATTTTTTCATAATTGTTTTCTGATGTTATTGTAGAAAATTTTAACCAACAAAAAAATTTACTGTAACTTTGTATTTCTGAAAGATACAGAAAAGAATTCGCTATTCAAAGCAATGTGAAATTTTCGTCTCTGTGTGTGCCACACATCATTAAACCTGTTATTGATTTATATTTACAGTCTTTTATAAATCATTGTTAGATTATATTTTTATTTCTGTTATTTTCAATTCTTTTCATTTTATATCGCAAGCGCAATATCGATACGTGTATTTTATTTGATTAAATTCTCGCAAGTGGCTGGGAACAATGGTTCTCAGATTGAACTTGAAGGCCATCATCGTTTCCCTTCTTTTACACGAGAAATTCGATGGACAGACCGACCGACCACGTTCATCAAGAGCCTGCATTATTGTTAATTATCGTTTTAATAATTGGAAATCATAATTATATCTTCGCTATTAGCTTTGTATTTCTTAATCAGAAATGTTTAATTTGATACGATGAGATACTTGAATTCTTCAAGTAACTGTCATTATATTTAATTCTGATTTTATTTCTCAATGTTTTTTTTATAAGAAATGTTCTTTATACTTTTTTCATAGAATCGATATTTTTGGAAATTGTTTATATATAAGTTATTGTAAATGTGGTGACATCCATTAAGAATCTTTATGGAATGTTAGCATTTATATATAAAAAATGATTTCATATTTTAATATAAAGATTCAGGAACTTTGATGTATGACGATGTCGACTCTTGAAAAATCGCGATGTCGGTGCTGTAATATCGAAAACTCGATGTTACATTTTTTCCTCCTGTTGCACGTGAATATGCTAAAATAGAGGCAGTCGCGCGAATGCACAGCAGAGCTTAGAAATGCGAATACGCGAAGCAGAGCAGCGCGTAGATGATTCGTCCACGAAATCGATCGATACACTCACGAAAACACGCACCAATACATAAGGACACGCGCTTTTTATCTCATATATACATTGCCTTTTTTGATATACGTGTTGCGTCGTCACATCTTCGTAATAAAAAAAAAAAGAAAAAAAAAAGAAAAATGCTTTTCCGTGTAAAGTATTTACGGAAATGCATTCGAACGCGAAGATCGAGATGAAAGCATCCTGTATATACATTTTCCTCCATAAATTTTATATGATAGCGCGTCGATTTCAGAAGTTCGACGCATATAAGAAAAGAAAAACGAACATCCCTATTCATATCGCATTTTGGGATTATAATGTAACTGCCGAATTCTAAAGTTCGTTTGTCTGATTATTTATCGGACAGTTGTGCTTGCGGTCGAATATGCGATATGAGCGGTACATACAAGGATACTTTACTCGTCTTACTTTTCTCGTCTTCCTACAATATATTATACACACGACGCGACGTAGTGATAGCTCGCCCTTTTATGATCGCCATGATATATAATATATAATCACGAATATGCATATTTCCTCGCAAATACTTATACTTTTATCACTCTATACTCGCAACACAAGGTCGCTGAGACACTGGGTGTAGTAATTACTGTCATGCCCACGCCCTGACACTTAATTCTTCTAATTTTACAGTAGCTCGCTGCAAGACGCTCCTCGGGGCGCTCGACATTTTATTTCTTGCCTTTTCATTTTGCACGAGACCACACGAAGATTTTTGAATTTTTTATAGGGTTTACATATTGCTGAATTTATACATGATTTATATATATTCTCTAGGATTTTTAATTTGTAAAATTTGTGTACGCGAATCTAATTGAGAAAAGAATAACTTGCATAATTTTGTACAAGTATTTCTAGGGAATTAATATTAATTATGCGGATCGAAAATTATCTAGAATTCTCAGTTGCTCCTCTTCTTTTTCAAACGTTATATACTGAATGTCTTAAGAGAGGAGAGAGAGAGAGAGAGAGAGAGAAAAAGCATTGCATTTTTTGAAAAGAAAATATTACAGTTCAACTTCTTTCTGAAAAATTTTCATCCGCTGTAATTATCAGTTGCAAATATTTAATCTTTTGATATTAAATAAATTAATAATTATTTCTCACTCAGAACATTAGAAAGATAAGATTTTATTAATTAATAATATATTTATATTATATATAAGCTATATAAAATTTGACTTATTTTTTAATATTAAAATATCTAATATTACTAGGTTCCAAGGAAATAAAAATTGTACAAATGAGAAAGCGTTACGTATACATTGACATTTTTTCTGGGATATTCTGTATATACATAAACTGCTTGATCGTAGTATCTGTAATTGAATTGCTTAATAAACGTGAAATGCTTGCTCGCTTGCTTTCGTCAGCTTTTTGTTTGTGCTGCAACTTGCATTCGCTTTACATGTCGAACTTGCTTGTGACTGCTTTCTTTAATGTACCCGAATATTTATAGATATGAATTACACAATGCGCATATCAGTCACTGATCCACGATCACTCAAAATCACATTCACACTAATTCGATAAATTATTATATATTAGTTTTAATTCTTTTTACTTAAATTGCATACACATTAATAAAAAAGATAAAATAAAATTAAAAAATACGCGCAAATGTCTAAGTCAATATTTGTATGTCTAATCTAAGTCAATATATGTAATAATTTGAATATATACATGTAATTAAATAAACAAATTATTTAACGCAAAATATTTTTTCTATCGGTATGATAAGAAAGGATGATTTGTTTGATGTGTATGCAAATTGAAAATCGCAAAGTATTTCAATTGTCTCTATTTGACTTTTTATTCACTTGGTTCACACCTGCTTATAATATTCATATGTTGTGTCTTACGACACGATCAATGAAAAAGATTTTCTCAACAACGCTTGCAAAATCGAAATGTCACGCACAAAATTAAGTTATTGCACACAGAAACGCAATATATATATTATATAGATTAATTTTTTTATTATTATATTTATATATTCATATTAAATTATATAAACAAAATATATATATATATAATTTATCATATATACCTTTCTAATAAAAATTACGTTATATAACGTTTATTAATAGATATGTTTATAATCATTTATAATCTTTATATTTTACTTTTTTTTTTATAAAAGAATCAAGATTATAAATTCTTTCAAAAATAGAATCTGTGTACAAAAAAATTAATTTTCTTTATTTGAAAAAAGTTATCAATTTTGTTCTCAATTTCGTTTAAAATAAATAAATTTAATATATTTTTGGTCTCTTATTAAAATACGAGCACACATGACACGCAAATAGCGCGTGTAACAGTCGCATAGTCGAGCATAGATAAGCAGAAACGTTTAATTAAACGTCAAAGCGTGATGTCGCGTTTAATCAAACTTCGTCTCCCATAGGTAGTCGTTAATGCCTTGGTCCAAGCCATTCCATCTATCTTCAACGTGTTGCTGGTATGCCTTATTTTCTGGCTTATATTCGCTATCATGGGAGTACAACTATTTGCTGGCAAATATTACAAGGTATGTACAAATTTTACATGAAAAGAGATTAACGAATAATTCTAATCTTTTAGAATTTTTTTTGTTAAAAAAGAGGAAAAATATCTCTGTACATTATAAAATTTAATTTCGGACTTTTATGTCGCAGTGTGTCGACGCGAACAAGACGACACTCAGCTACGAGATAATACCGGATCGAAACGCCTGCTTCGCTGAGAATTACACGTGGGAGAACTCGCCAATGAATTTCGATCATGTCGGGAAAGCATATCTGTGCCTATTCCAAGTGGCGACTTTCAAAGGTTGGATCCAAATCATGAATGACGCGATCGACTCCAGGGAGGCGAGTATTTCTCATAATATAGTTTCTGCTTTTTTTTCTCTTTTTATCGATATTTCTTATATATTCTAACGCAGTTTTTTAATTTCTTGCAGGTCGGCAAACAGCCGATTCGTGAAACGAACATTTACATGTATCTCTACTTCGTGTTTTTCATTATATTTGGATCGTTTTTTACCCTCAACCTGTTCATTGGAGTTATCATCGACAACTTTAACGAGCAAAAGAAAAAGGCTGGCGGCTCCCTCGAGATGTTCATGACGGAAGATCAGAAGAAATATTACAATGCCATGAAAAAAATGGGCAATAAGAAGCCTCTGAAAGCCATTCCTCGACCGAGAGTGAGTTATATAAATAATATAGACATACATACTCTTGAACGCGCCATGTTATTTGATCATTTAAAGAGAGGTGTTTGACTTTAATTCACGAATAAATACAATAAGATATTTTTATTTACTCTTAAATAGAGCACGATTAATGCATAATTATCGATATAATATTTCTTTCGACTTTTACAGTGGCGACCGCAGGCGATAGTGTTTGAAATAGTGACGGACAAAAAGTTCGATATGATAATCATGCTGTTCATCGGGCTGAACATGCTCACGATGACGTTGGACCATTATCAACAAAGCGAGACGTTCAGCACAGTTCTGGACTATCTCAACATGATATTCATTGTGATATTCTCCAGCGAGTGTCTCATGAAGATCTTCGCTCTGCGCTACCACTACTTCAAGGAGCCATGGAACCTCTTTGATTTTGTTGTTGTTATATTGTCAATATTAGGTAATGTAACGTAATGGTTGCTACAGTCGTATGACCCGAGCGAAACGAAAGCGAAATGTGCAAAAAAACGGCCTGCTAGCTTCCTTTCTTCTCGATTACACGGAATTACTCTGATGATCTCGTTTATCTCTTTGCCTTTAGTACATACTAGCGTAGTGTTCTGTCTCACGTGCGACAACAGATCTCGGCATGCCATGCTACTCTTCCGCTTTTTTTTTTTCATGCACGCAGAATCTCTTCTCGATCAAGTGGACAGGCCTAACGTTTCGCTCGTGTCTCAACGACTGATGGATATCATTACGTTACGTAGCCTTACATTGATGTTGACTTTATACCTTGCCAAATACCCCATGACCCTACGTGTCCTACACCAAATGTGGTTGATACTCCGAATTGTCGAGTTGCCGAGCTCAGCATTATTTTGTGTCTCAAATAAATTAGGATGAAAATAATGATTTTTGTCAATCAATGATAGTGTATATGGAATTTATTATTTCGTTAAATTATTTAAAGTTACGCAGAATGCACGATTCTACGACTTTTACAAATTTTACAGAATATAATATTTCAAAAAAATTTTTTAGGAAGATATAAAATATTTAATATCAGCGAGTATTTTTTAAAAATAAAAAAATAAAGAAAAAACTATCACGATTTAACGCTTTTGCACGGCAATTCGGCACGTTAATCAATGTTGCAACAATTTTAAATCGAAGTCTCGGGTAAGATCGGGTCTGTATAAAGTAGGTTTTAGAATATAATTTATTACTTCTTTTTAGTTTTCAATTATAGTTTTCGATTGCGTCTCTACATTCTCTCGAATGATATAGTATAGTAAAAATAATTTTTCATACATTCAAAATTATCTCTTTATAAAGCACTGCATAATTTCGAATTTAAGCTACGACATATAGCTTCCATATGTTCAATTAGTCTGAACATACGCTTTCTATGATTTTGTGATAATTTTCGAGCGTGAATTTTTAAGGACATAGCATCCGAGTCTCCTAGGACACGCATGCAATTTCTCTAACAATTAAAATTTTCCATTTTGTACACTTGTAATGCACATATTTTCTTAGAAACGAGAACCGTCTAATATGAATGTTTATCTCGCGTATATTTATGTATATTTTTTTATCGAAAGGAAACGTACGAGTTTTTAAATTTCTCTTCCACATATAGTTTGCAAGAAGAATTTTTCTAGAAACTTACACTTGAAATATCTCTCTAGAAATCGCGCACCTTATTCTCCTAGTTACACGATAATTAGACAATCCAAACGCATGATCCCGACGATGCACGAGATTTCTATAAAATTATATATACGAATGAATTCTATGATTTATGCACCGTGATGATATCACCGCACCCCGGCTTCTCTCCTCGATGTTAATGCAAATAAGTCTCGGACTCGCTAAAGTGTGGATTCTTTCTCGACAGGTCTGGTGCTCAGCGACATTATTGAAAAATATTTCGTATCGCCGACTTTGCTTCGCGTAGTGAGAGTGGCGAAGGTCGGTCGTGTGCTTCGACTCGTGAAAGGTGCCAAGGGTATTCGAACTCTTCTCTTCGCCCTGGCGATGTCGTTGCCGGCCCTCTTTAATATTTGCCTACTGCTGTTTTTGGTGATGTTTATCTTCGCGATATTCGGAATGTCTTTCTTCATGCACGTCAAAGACAAGAGCGGACTCGACGACGTGTATAATTTCAAGACGTTTGGACAGTCCATGATACTGCTATTTCAGGTGAGATCTTAACCGATGTATTATTTTTCCTCGTCAAAATCGTATTAGCTACTTTCTATTTGGAATTGATTTTTCTTGCAAAAATGATCCAAGAGGTGACTTATTTCGAAACGAAATACTTTTCTTGAAAAATTGCATCTCGAACGCATCGTGTGATCGACAGATGTCAACATCGGCCGGCTGGGACGGTGTTCTCGACGGTATAATAAACGAGGAGGACTGCCAGGAGCCGAACAACGAGATCGGCTACCCGGGCAACTGCGGCTCGTCGACGATCGGGATCGCATACCTGCTCTCGTATCTCGTCATCAGCTTCCTGATCGTTATCAACATGTACATCGCCGTGATTCTCGAGAATTACTCGCAGGCCACCGAAGACGTGCAGGAGGGCCTGACGGACGACGACTACGACATGTACTATGAGATTTGGCAGCAGTTCGATCCGGACGGCACGCAGTACATCAGATACGACCAGCTGTCGGACTTTCTCGATGTGTTGGAGCCCCCCTTGCAAATACACAAGCCCAATAAATACAAGATCGTGTCGATGGATATCCCCATATGTAAGGGTGACCTTATGTTTTGCGTGGATATCCTCGACGCCCTCACCAAGGACTTTTTCGCACGGAAGGGCAATCCAATCGAAGAGACGGGCGATCTAGGCGAGGTCCAGGCGAGACCCGACGAGATCGGTTACGAGCCGGTCTCGTCCACCTTATGGCGGCAGCGCGAGGAATATTGCGCCCGCTTAATACAGAACGCCTGGCGAAAGCACAAGCAGCAGCGGCTCGGCGGCCCGAGCGAAGAGAGCGATGATCCGGACACGGATCTATGCGTACGGCAGACCAAGGTGCTGGTCGAGAGCGACGGTTACGTCACGAAGAACGGCCATCGGGTTGTCATACACAGCCGATCGCCGAGCGTCACCTCAAGAACCGCGGACGTCTGATCGCCAAAGTCGTCGTCGCCGCCGTCGCAGCTGCCGCAGCAGCCACCGCCGCCGTCCGTGCGCCGAAAATCGCTCTATCGCAGCAGCCGCAGTCGCAGCAGCAGCAGCAGCAGCAGCAGCAGCAGCAGCAGCATCGTCGACGACGATAATCACGCGTCATCAGCCGCTCGCACTGCTCGTGCGAAGTAGTGGCCGGGCGGGCACCTCGCGTGCGCTCTCCATCGACAGCCTTATAGTTGTATAAAATAACAATTCCTCCAACGAGTTGCCTTTAATCGACTTTAAACGAGCCACGACCGTTGGGAGAGAGAGAGAGAGAGAGAAAGAGAAAGATAGAGAGAGACACGTCGCTTAGTTAGACGAGCGTCCGTATATGAAAAAGTACTACGAAAGAGAAGACTGCGACTGCGAGTATCCAAGATCCACCGATTCGAAAGTATTGCTGCTCTCGCTTGATCGCCGATCGCCGATCCTTAATACACGCAATTTATTGTCGTGGATCGGCTTAATTGACTTGGCCGTGGTGTCCGGATTGCGTGTACGCGACGCAAGGTACCTCTTGCACTCGAGAAGAGAAAGGAAGAGAGAAGAGAGCTACGTACGCGAAGAGAACAAGAAGACACGAGGAGAAATACGAGGACGGCAGGCCGAAGCGTCGCAACGTCCACTCCGAGTTCGACTTCCCCAATAATTGAATACTCGTGGGACGCGACATCGCGACGCGGAGAGAAAAAGAGAGAGGGACCATCTCGCTTTTTCTCGTTTAGCCTCCCCTCTGTTTTTCGCCGTTTCGATCCGAGAAAAAGGAGTCATCCGCGCGCGGATGATGAAGAGAGATCGCGCGTTATATATATATATGTAAATTAATTCGCGCGCGAGACGACGGCCGCGCATCGAGGCGGCGCGCGACCTCCCATGTGCGAATGTCGGGCTTCTGCCAGAGTTGTCAACATGGCCCAGAAGTGGCACAATATTGGCTGCCAAGACTTGATAGGTGGTACTGCCCTAGTACGGATAAACCACCAGATCAATACTGTACCAGTCTCGGTAATTGGTACTGTACCAATACTCCCATGCAATCATATTCTGTTCCGAGCCGAGTCTCGTCTCAGTACTGGGCATGTATTGAGTCGACTCGTGTCGGATTACTGGGAAACAAGCAACTTTGTCTGCAGCACGAGTACCGGTTCAAGTATACTGGAAGAAAATTGGGCCAATGTTACTGACACAAAATATTTTCTATACCGCGAGCCAAATATCGTATCGGTACTGGGCGTGCACTGGGGGCGAGACGTGAAATAGTACTGAGATGATAAAAGTTATGTTGGATAAAATCGTATATATTGGATCAGCACTGGGGCCGTACGTTGGTGTATGACAACAAATATTTTTATTTTGAAACATTAATTTATAATGATTTTAAACATATCGGTTATTCTAATGTTAGATTTGGCCCAATACTGATAATGAATGTTGTCCCAGTACTAATACTTTGTGTCGAACCAAAGTTGGCATCAAGAGTTGGCCCAACATTGGCAATCAGCGTTGTCTCTGTACTAATACTCCGTGTCGGGCCAAAGTTGGCGCCGAGACTGGGACCCGTGTTATCATTCCGACATTGTCCCAGTAATAACCCCGATCTCAACTTATACTGGCCCAGAACGTCAGCCAGTACTGGCGACTCTGGCACCAGTATTGAGCCAGTACTGAGCCTTTTTGAGATTCGCACATGGGTTCTTGTCTACACCATCTTGTACACATTTAGCTCAATCTCGCGAATCTCTATATCCGCCGTTTGGATTTTTTACACCGTTTTACAGCAGTTATAACCCGCCTATTCGCCCCCCAGCGCGACGCCGCGACGCCTCAGGCGCCGCCGTCGAGCCCTCCGTTGCGGTGACACTCGCTTATTAAGGAACGATATATATATATATATATATATATATATATATATATATATATATATATATATATATATATATTGTATAATCGCGATTGCGCTAGAGAAACGAAGAGAAAGTGGACGCGGAAGAACGATATGACGACGACGACGACGATGATATGTTGATAATGATAATGATGATGTTAATGATGACGATAATGATGATGATGATGTCGATGATGTCGATGATATACCGACGTAGATCGACGCGATCACTTTTCGATTAACGACGATTAGAGGACGAAGGCGAAAGAAAATTTCGCGGACGGAAGAGGACTCATTCGTGAAATGAAATGTGCGCGTATAGTAGTGTGTTATACATTCGCTCGGCTTGCATCTCTTGCGAAAAAAAAAAAAAAAAAAAAACGATGCGCGAACGCTTGATCGCGCCGCTTGGTTCCACAACCCCCCCTCTCCCGCCCCTTTTTCTCTCGGACCTTATATAATTGTGCGACCTCGTCCGTCGGTCCTGGTATATATATATGTATATATATATATATATACGCACATCGTCGCGAATCAATGAATTCTTTCGCGGAAATGCAAATGTCAAACACTCGCGCGCGTCTCCCGCGATGTGCTTCACTCATCTGTGGGTCTCAGAGAGATTTATTAATTCTCCCTCTCCTCCCCTCCCCCTTCCGCGACGGTGTGTCCGCGTCTCTTTTTGGCCGCGTTTTTTCCCCGATCCGGGTTTACACCCTCCGCGTATGTGCGAAAACTTTTTGCATCCCGACCGAGGGGGAATGAATCCGCTGAAATCGTCGTTCCTTTTATCCTCTTTTTTCGGATTTCCCTCTCACGGATTTATACATATACATATATAAAAATATATACCTATTTCTCTCTACTCCCATTTGCCTGTCTCTGCCTCCGCTCTTTCGCCGCCCTTCCCTTTCGACACTTTCGCGTCGCGATCTTCTCTGTATCACACGATTAAGACAAAAATGCGTCGAAGCAATCGCGTCGAAGAAACGTGCGTATCGGCTTCTTAAAAAGAAAAAATGCATAATAAATAAATAAATAAATAAATAAATAAATAATAATAGTGTTTAAAAGGAAAGACAAAGAGAGAGAGGCCGCCGCGCGGTAAGAGAGACACTCTTTAATCCGTACCCGATTTTAATCGATATATCTCGAACGGCCGAAGGGGTTGGAGAGAAGGGGGATGGGGGCGCGATTCCGCAGTCTCATCATCTCTCAGCTAGATATTTACACATTTGCAAAACTTACACGCAGTCTTACACGACCGTAGTGAAACGCGCTTCGGAATAAAAATAAAATTAATACATTCTAGTGTATATCGTTATTCGACTAATCGCAATCGATCGCGCGCGCGCGCGTAAACCCGTCTCGCGTCGCGCAACCCGCAAACAAATACAAATAAAAAAAAAAACGCTGAAGATATTTTAAAAATAGGGTTGTTGTGTAATTATATAATTATTATTATTATTATTATTATTGTAATTATATTATATTGTATCGATGGTGCACACAACACGGAGCACGCGCAAAAATTTGTTCGCCCCCCGATTCGAACTCTCTCCGGCGTGGTTAATTATTATACAAAGAGATATTGTTATGTAAAATATATAGTTTTACCGCTCCGAAATATAATACTGCTCTTTCAGTATAGCGAGGGTATTTCACTTCGAGAGTGAATGAAGTCGCGTATCTTCAAAAGCCTGAATGTGAGAGAAAGGACGGAGAAATTATTAAACGGGGGTGCACGAAGGCGAAGGAAGAAGATGATGATGATGATGATGATGATGATGATGAAGGAGAGAAGACGAGGACGAAGAAGACGCCTTTTATATAAACACGAAAAACACGAATTGGATCGTACAAGTATTTCTCGCTAATCGGATGATAATGAGAACCCTACGTTGTGCCTTTTGAATAACAGCAATCTTAAGCAAACTAAAGGAGAAAAAAAAAGCAAAGGAAAAAGAAAAACTTCGGTTTCCCGATATCGCACCGTTAAATAAACATTAATCGTCGGATATCATGGTGGAAGACGCGTCTCGCGTCGCGCACCAACATTGAAGCCGAATGCTGCTGCTTTTGTGTTCTCTATCACGAAAGCGAACCATATCCTCTTCGCTCTGTTTCTCTCAGCACCCGAGTTATCTTTAGTATAAACGTCGGTCGGCGTTCCGGCCGACCGGATTAATAAATGCGGAGAATTTAGACGGGTTTACGCACACAGAGACTCTCTTCGCGCGGAATCGCGTACGGAGACTTTTCGCGTCGACGACCTCGATCGACGTATATGTAGGAACCACGATGGAAAGAGACACGTATGTTTATTCGAAGGTCCGTTTATTTTAAATTTAAAAATATATATATATATATAGGACAGCTCTCCCTTTTCGAAAAAACGTCTGTCCCGCAACTATCGATTCCCTTTCACGGCCGATGAGTTTCAGACGGGTCTCGAGGATAGACTCTCATCAATTTGTCAACGCCTGGCCATCGTGTACACATACATACACATATATACGCGAATATATACACTTATGTATAACATGTACATACACAGACTTTGTACTCTTTCCACCGTGGTCGCATTTACCGCAATTTTGTCGTCGCGATTCCGTCACGAAGCAAGTACCAATCTCATTTCGCCTCCGCGCAACAACCTACACAGATCACCTTTGAACGTGTGTTTAAACAATTTACACAGGGAGTATCAGAGTTTATCACGATATAACGCGTGACGGCGATGACGACACCTTTGCGCAACGACGTGTCAAGCTATTCGTAAATAAATATTATATATATATACAGGGTGTCCGGTAATTAACGGACCAACGATCACAAATGGATTCTTTGGTCAATTTGGGGAACGATTTTTCCTCAGCGAAAATGTCGAAAATGTCGAAAAAGGTTATCATTTTTTACAACTTTCCAATATTTGTCATTCAGTATCTTTATAACTAAGCCTCGAATTCAAATTTTATTATAGTAAACTCTACCTGAAATTAACTGAAGAATGTAATTAGACTTTTAACTCCAAAACGTTTAGTTATTGACTTCTCAACATTTTTGCTAAGGAAAAATCGTCTCCAAATTGGCCAGAGAATCCGCCCTTAATCATTGGTCCGTTAGTTACCGGACACCCTGTATATATATATATAGACAGATGCGTGTGTGTGCGTGCAGGATGAGACAAACAGAGTCTGTTTCCTCTCCTCTTGACATTTTATTAGTCGTTCGGATAAAAAAAAAGCTGCTGTTCGAAAACCCATTTATCTTCGCGAACACGTAGCAAGAATTTTTCTTCGAACGCCGACTATCCTTTCCCCTGAAATGTCGATCGGAGGACAACTCGAGGAGCGCGTCTCGCCTCGCACGCACACTTTGCGACTTGAATTAATTGATCGATTCGTCGTTGAACTTAACGAAGAGCGTTGTCGCGGTCACGCGGCGGTGAGCTTAAGTAGGCGGCGAGATACAACAAAATAGAGAGAAAAAACAAGGAGAGAAATAAATAAATAAATGCGTGTGTGCGTGTGCGTGTGTGTTAATGCGGATTGTGCGATCGTTATTTTTCTACGTCTACATCCGCGTAGGGTCGATTTAGGGCGGAGGAAAGGGAGACAGACGTCCGCGGATCGTGAGGGACAACGACGTGGAAGCGGCGAGCCCTGTTGTTGTTGTCGGCACTTTATTGTTAGACGGGAAGTCGTGTGGGTGTAGGTGGTGACGTGGAGATTTCGGGCAGAGAGGGAGAACGCGTTTCTCGCTCTGGTCGATATATTTGAGCGCGTTTAAAGACCAAGAGAGAACAAAGGCTGCATTCGGATCAGATGTTGCTCGCAGTAATGTAACTCTACTGATTGCAATTGAATGTGATTGGTGGATTTACGAGCGCTCGGGGATAGATAAAGGATTTATTAAGCGTCGTTGCCTGTAGAGCTCTCGGCACGTCTAATGATTCAGCTACGAAAAGAATATGTAAATATACGAGAAAAAGAATATATATATATATATATATATATGACAGAATACGAAATATATGTGTTATACGCGTATTTTTGGCAAATATTTAATTTCGTATCTAAATTACGCGCGTGAGATTGTATAAATTCTTGACATATTCGGAATTTAAATTTTTTATTATATATTATTTCACTTCTCTCTTCGCCAATCATTCAATTGCCTGTTTCATCTTCTGAATGCAGCCAATAATGTTAATGACAAGACTAATAACAGGGTTGGATAATAATTAGTTAATTTAAAATGTATTAATTTTTAACTTCAACTAGTTATTTTTGACCTTAAACTTATTAACTTTTTCCCAAGTTAAATTTCTTTTATCTTTGAATACTATTATTGGTTTTTTATAAGTTATAAACGTATTATTCAAAGTATTATTAATTTTTATGTTTATTTATCATCGATTGTAATTACCAAAAAAATATATTTCTATATAAAGATCAAAATATTGTTGTTGTTTGTTATTATAAATTTTAAAAGAATTAACAAACAAAATTCTAATTTAATATAAATGTTTTGAAAAATTAACTTTTGATTTAACTTCAGTTAATTTAATTTTAACTTTAACTGAATTAATTTTTTGTTCGCGCAACTTTTAACTTGACTAAATTAATTTTATAAGCAATTAACTTTAACTTGACTTAGTTATAAAAAATCATTAACTTACTCAACCCTGACTAATACTGACGATGACAAGGTCCACAATTAGAACATCAAAGAACAGTGGTGTCGTTGTAGATGAAAAATGATATAAAATATTTCGAAAATAGCGTGGCAAATGAATATACTTTACGAAAACATTTAAACACGGTGAACCGGATCTTCTCTCATTGGGAAAAGAGTTTTTGCTTTGCGACGAAACTAGGTCTGATATTAATCGTGTAATTTCATCGCGTATAACTTTTCTACGTTTATTTGCAATGCACGAATTTCGAATCGCGAATTATTCGACATTTTTACATTGGCCATTTAAAAATTCTAAATCTAGATCGCTTAAAATGTAATGCTAAGATTAAATATTGTGTGAAAATTATATTCTAAAAAAATTGTATATACATATATATATATATATATATATATATATATTCAAAGAAATTTATCTCTATACGAAAGTAAAACGTAATGCAAATTATAAGAAGAAGAGTGCACGTTCCTAATTACCGAATTGAAAATATATTTAGTGCTTCAAAATTGTGTTTCGCTACGTCGAGATTTTGTCAGACACACACACGGGGCTGAAAGTATTTTTTATATCGCACAATCGTAAAAAAAAAAAAAAAAAATAAAAAAAAATAAAAAAAAAATAAATTCTTCGCGACGGTGACGCGTATAATCAGGAGCACACACATTAATAATATGCCGTCCGCACATTCACAAAGAGACTTTGCGATTTTTTTCTCTCGCGATTCATCGATTCTCTCTTCGTGTAACAAATAAGTACTCGAACTACGCTATTAGCCATGTAAACGAAAGAGAGAAAGAGATGCATTCCTTAAATATATTACAGATAGTGATCTGCAAACGCGCAGCCGCATCTCGTTCGTTCGAAGAATAATTATTTCGCGCATATACATATATATATATATATATATATATATCAGCCTTCTCTCCCTCCCCCCTCGGCGTTTTTTTTTTTTTTTTCCCGAACCCTCGATTTCGCGCCATCGACGTTGTCCCTCGGAATCGTGGCGTCTTGGAAGCGCGACGGACGAAGACGACGACAGATCGAAATATTAATATATAATACATATATGTAACGAGAAATATATCCGAAAAGGTCCGTCCGGTTCACTCTGTCCCGTACTTCCGAGACCTCCCTTTCCAACCCCGTCATCAAGGTTTGGCCTC